TCATAGATCCTGGTAAACTGGATCAAAGCATCATTAGTTAGTCACTTATTTAGTTTGGAGCTGTATCATTCAACACTGTAGCAAGATTTCCTTCAGCTTCTGTTAAAAACAGAAGAGGACTATTGATGAGAACAAACAGCAGGGACACAGTATCAGCAATCACCATGGTTTAACATGACCAGTAAACATCTCATAAAATGGTACATCGTGGTCTACAGTCTGTTTCCTTCAGTTCTGTAAGTTTCTCAGTTTTCAAGTTCTGTTTAAACATCTTTTAGTTAAGTTTTCATGTGTTATTCTAGAACTCCTGTTATGAATGCTGAGTTTGTATTTCCACTGTTTCCTATTTTAGTTAATCATGTTTCTGTTTTCAGAATGAGGTTTTTTTTGTTTTTTGTTTTTAATAAAGTGTGTAAGAAAGAGACAGTAAATGCAAAAGACTAATTCACAGCCTTATTTAGTCAGATTTGTAGAGACACAAACTGTTCACAAATGTTTGGCAAAACATTTTATAGAGGTCAGAATCATAGTTTTTATTCATTTTATTAATTGGTGTTAAAATAGCGATGCTTAGTGGTGTTCCATGCAGAAGGAAAAAATGAGGGTCATGTGGCAAATTAGTTAAAACTATTTTTGTCATCAAAGTGTGATTGTGGCTGTTTTATGCTGTCAATAAAATATGTAGATCTTTTAAGTAAACATTCAAAAATAATGCCCTTTACAGTGAAAATACTTCAGTAGAAAGAGACGCTAAATGTTGTTTTAAGTGTGTATCAGCAATAGAATGCCCTTAAGATGAAACAAGACAAAAAAAATGTTAAGTAAAACAACCCTTGTCTGTGTTTTTTCTTTTTCAGTTATGCGAGACATATAATGTTTTTGGATTAATTTTACTGCTATGTTTATGTGTCTGTTGTATATTATTGCTGTTGATGTTTTCATTAGTTCATATATTTTGGAGTTTAGATATATTTTGAATTAAGTTATGAAACAGTTATGGAAATGTACGATTTTGTCAGCCCATAAAGAATACTTTGATACATCACTTTATCCTTAATTTTATCAGAAACATTCAAAATTATCCCTAGATATGAGGACAATTATCTGATATTACAATTAAATATAAGCGTAAAGGTTTCAGAGGATTGTAGTTGGTGCAGTATATTCAAAGACAAATATTTGTCTCAGAGAAGTAATAGAGTTAAAGGGATGAATGAAATGCAAATGAATAAAGAAATATTTTATTTCCTCTTTTGATACATTTTTTTCCCAAGTGTAACATACAATTTACATGTCGTCGGTGTTAACGTTGCGGTTGGCTCTAGCACCCAGCTTAACGACCTTGTACCTGTCCGTGAACGTCTCTCGGCCTCGGATGCCAATGAATCGCTTCTGTGGCGGTTGCTAGGCAACAGGAGCAGCGCGACGTAAGCGAGACAGTCCCACTTAAAGCCGCTCGGTTCGGCCTTCACGGCCTATGGATGCAGCTGCTG